TCGCTGCCATCACGTTTGTGGGGCCCAGCAGAGCGCGGTGGGCGCCGAGCAGCTGCCGCGGCTGTGAGTAATTTGTTACTAAGAATAGTTAGCGCCCCTCTCCCGGCCGCCGTCTCCAAGCGGCCACGCGCAACGGCGAGGCTGGACCCCCGGCCCCGACGCCGGCTTGGACGCGGTCCCCCGGCCCCCCATTCGAGCGCCCCATCCAGGCCCCCGCCCCCACCCCCCGCTCACCTGGGCCGCGGCGGCCCGGGGATGTGCTCGTAGCGGCTGCGAGCGCGGTGCACGAAGGTGCAGCAGAGGCCGAAGGCGACCAGGACGGCGCTGCCGAGCAGCAGTAGCAGCCCGGGGCTCATGGCTCCCGGGCAGGCCAGGCCAGGGTCGGGGCCGGGCACCGAGGGGGCGGGAGGCCGCGAGCCGACTCAGCTGTCAGCGCCGCGCGCCGCCTCGGCCCGAGGCCCGGCGCGACCCAGCACCGCCTACTCCCGCTCGGCTCCGCCCCCGCCGGTTCGATCCCTCCCAGGGCGCTCCGTCCCCGCCAACCACGTCTCCGCCTCCAGCTCCCGCTCTCGGGGCCCGCCCCCGCCCCTCCCCAAGCCCCGCCCCAACCTCAACACAGCTCCAGCTCAGGCCCCGCCCAGAGCATGGGATTTCCGCCAGTCACAACGTCGTTTCTGGCTCAGACCCCCCATGCTCCGCCCCCTCCCCGCCTCCCCAGGCCCCGCCCCCAGCCTCCAAACGTTTCATCCCCACAGCAGCTCCGCCCAGAACGCGTTGTCCTGGGCAACCCCGATTCCTCCGCGCTTCCTGCCCCGGCAGCCGCGCTAAGTCCTGCGGGCTGGTTCCGCTCTCTGGGGCGCCCTCAAATAACGGCGTTTTCCGCGCGCGGTCCTAGGCCCCCTCCCTTCTCCCTGAAACCTTCCTGGGAACCCATCCCAGCCTCCACACGCGCGTCTTACGCCGACTGCTCCCACGCCTCCCTCTGGAGCCCCCAGCCCCAAAGTGGTTCCCCCCGCCCGGCCGGCCCCCGCCGAGCGCCCGTGGTCTCCCTGCAGGGCCCACGGGCCGGTGGCGAGGACCCCGGGGGCAGAGGGGGGCCATGTCCGCGAGCGCAGAGCGCCCGGCTGGACCAGAGTCGGTCGGCCCTCCTCGCGTCGCGGCACCTCCGGAGCCTTCCGGACCCCGGAGAGTCGGGTCGGAGGCAGTGACCCGGGTCCCAAGGAGCCGGAGTCGGAGCGCGCGCAAGTCTGGGTGCGCGAGGTCGCCCGCGACGTAAGGCGACAGATGTGCCCTTGGTGGCCAGAGGGTATTTGTTAGGTAATAACCGAGACTTCCGTGCCGTTTATGTAACCCTCTTCTCCTCGCCCGTTCGGGTGTGACGGCGGAGGATGCCCAGCGCCGCACTTTCGGTTCTCGCTCCCGCACTGGGAGCGGGGGACGGGGGGCGGGGGGGGCGGGGGGGGCGGGCGGCGGGGGGCGGGGGCACCCCGAGTGCGAGCAGTGGATGGAAGGGCCGGCTGTGCGCGCTCCTAGTCCCGATAAAGCTCCAGCGGGCTGGGGGCTGGGGGTGGTGCCCAAAGATGCTGCCGGAGTCGTGAGAAGGGGACATGCCACTGCCCTGTTCGTGGGCCAGTCCCGGAGAGGCTTGGGGGCTGGGAAACCGAGGTCTGTACCTCTTCCCAGGCGCAGCCGGGGACAGTCAGCAGCAGGGACATGACTGTGGGGGGGGGGGGGTTATGGGATGCAGGGTGACGGAGAGGGCCACGCTTTAAGAACTGGACCCAGAAGAGACAGGAATTCTGTCCGCGACTACCGCAGCCTGGGCATCCACCGGGGCGCGAGGAGCAGGACGCATCTGCTGCTGGAGCGGGGAGACGCTGGCTTGCCGGGGCGCCCCCATGTGGCGGTGGGAAGCAGCCGCTGGCTGGTCCTGCTTTGGGGGGGGGGCGGGGACGGGGGCGGGCAGGTTAGACAGCCCCTCCTGGGCTGTGAAAGCTCCAGGGGCTGGGGGCAATTTGAAGGGAGGACCCCCGACCGTTGTTTTTTGAAGACAGGGCCAGAGCTTAAACTGCTCTGGGCACAGTCTGGGGTCTTACATGAGGCAGGCATGAGGTAGTCTCAGGGTACATTTGTGAGCCTAAGCCCGTCCCACTAGCGCTAAGGAGAGGAGTGGGCGTTAAATCTCTCGTGCGTCACTCAATCCCTGTAACCTCTGGCTCAATGTGACCGGGGCTCACCTGGCATCTCAACAGAGAACCCCTGCCCCTGACCAGTGTCCCTTCCCCATGTATCAAGTCTACTGTTGTCCCACTGCCGCCTCATCTGATTCTCCCAGCTCTTCTGCGGTCACATGGGGAGCGATGAGAGAGAGGGCACCCCAGTGCTCAGGTGGGTCTCCTGCCCTTTGCCTGGGCAGGCAGGACTACAAGCCGCCAGCAGAGGGCACTGCCTGGAAGCACGTGGCCAACAGTCTGGCCCTTCCCCAGAGAGGTCTCGACAGGGCTCTCCAATATGGTACCCACTGGCCAGATGTGCCAGTCCTGCGCTTGAAACATGGCTAGCCCAAACTGAGGTGTTCTGTGTGCATAAAATAGACACTGGGTTACACTGATTGCATATAAAAAAAGTTTTTAAAATCTCATTAATATTTTTATGTGGATTAACTGTTAAAATGCTAATTTTAGAATATGCTGGGTTAAAGAAAATATATTATTAAAATAAATTTCACCTATTTCATTTTGCTTATTCAATATGGCTACTGGGAAATTTAAAATGACCTCTGTGGCTCATATTATCGGACAGTGCAGGTAGAGACAGTGGTTCTCAAAGTGCAGCCTGTAGGCCAACAGCGTCAGCATCATCCTGTGTCACAAGGCAAATTCTCGGCCCTGTTGAGATCTACTGAGTCAAAAACTCTGATAGGCCCCCAGCCCCCTGTGTTTTCACCAGCCCTGCAAGAGTTTCTTGCTCAAGTTTGACAGAAGACGTAGTTCCCCAGCGGGATCACTGGGCAAGGCTGCAGACTCCGAAAGCTGGCTGCTCCGAAGCCAGGCTCTAAAGGGGCGGCACTCAAGTGGTACAAAGCTGTTTCTCCTCTGAACACAGCACCAAGGCCTGGCGGCTCAGGCTTGTTAGGGGGAGACAGGCACACAAGGAACAAGCGAGGCCCCGTCAGGAAACGAGTGTTGCTACCCGAGGCTGACACCACGGATGCCGTCCTGGGTGCCAGCCACCCCTGGGACATCCCTGCAACACTGGACTCCAAGGGCTCAAGAACTAAGCTGTGTGACGCTGGGTAGAAGCAGCCCCTCTCTGGGCTAGGTGCTGAGAGGTTACTCTAACTGCTGACTGGAAGCCCGATTACGGGGGGTGATGGCCGAGGCTGATCCAAGGCTCCAAAGGGAGCCTTGGCCAGGGTCGGCCCCTATCCCCAGAGAGCCTGAAGGACTCTGAGACCGGATCAAAGTCCCTGGGGACTGAGTCACTTGGGAATGCTCCCTTGGCAGCTGTAGGCAGTGGAGTGAAAGGAGCACTGGACAAGGAGTCTGAAGCCAACTCTGGCACTCTCTGGGCTTGTGTTCCCATCTACCCAATAACAGGGGCCAATGGGAAGTGGGGGGGGCACTGAATTCAATGTTCTTCAGGCAGCAGGGTGACAGTCCAAAGTGGAGCTCCAGGGCCCTCCTGCCTACTTTCAAATATTGACTATATGACATTAAGCAGGTAACAAAGCTTCCCTGGGCCTCGGTTTCCACATCTGCACAATGAAGGGTGAGCAGAACACTGCTTGCATGGGTTCATATGACGATTAAGTGAGTGGGTACTGAGTACAACTTTTGCAGCAATGCCCGGCGCATAGTGAGAGTGCGCCAAACGTCAGCGGTCCACCCTTGTGGCTATTTAAGGGACAGTGAGCCTGTGTCAACCTCCTTGTCAGGAGGCAGGCTGAAGCCTAAGCCTTGTTTGGAGCCTGAGGGGTCAGGAGGTAGGGGACTGGAGCAGGGGGAGCCCCCACCCAGAGGAGTGCAGGGCCTGAGACTGCTCCCAGTTGCCCGCCAAACAATGGTGACACACAGGGCCCTGCTGAGGGCTGGGCCACTCCACCACTGGTGGGGAGGTACCAGGAGCCCCAGATGGTGACTTCAGGCTATCACTGTTGAGCAGCTGTGGGAGATACCCCCTGTCACTTCCGTCCCGCTTCCCAGGCCACACCCGATGGCATCGTGGCCTTCAGGCCCTGAAATGAAGAGGGGCCTGGACAGGGGGAGGAAGGGCAGGGAAGAGCATGGAGGAGCCCCAGAAAGATGCTGTATGACCCCCCACCACCACCATTCTGGGTCTGGGGAACCAACGGCTTGGGTCACCCCACTGGATATGGCCACCCCCCTACCCTGGGCTCTAACCTTGGCTCAGCCCCATCTGGGACAGGCCCGGGACACTCAGCCCCCCGGGCTCCTTTCTCCATGGACGCAGTGAGGAGTTTGGCCCTCCCAGCTCCTAGCATGGTTCAGAATTTCCCTGTGTCTGGGCAAGATGCCTATTAGCTACTGCTGGGCAATGGGAGGACGCAGGGGTCTCCACCAGCGGCTTCCCAGCCCAAAGTGGGCAGAAGCCCCAGGGGAACCCCTAGGTCTAGCCCTTTTTACAGCTGGCATGGCAGCCCCAGGTTCAGGCAGTGCAACAAATGGTCAGGGTGCCGCAGGTGTGAGAGCTAGGCCGTGTGGCCGAGTGGGTTCTCATCTGGCTTCCCCCTTCCCTGGCTGTGCACCTCAGTTTCCCCATCTGTAAAAGGAGGAGGAGAAGGGGCTGTTCAAAGGCTCCAGTGAGTTCACACATGCCGCACTGTCCTCACAACGGTGCCCCGCATATAGGCCATGCTCAGTGGCACGGCTCTGGTTTCCACACGGGGCTCCATGGGGCCAGGCAAGCGGTGAAGGCCCAGGGCCCTCGCCAACCCCACTCAAGGCAGAGGTATGAGGGGTTTGAGAGGTGACCCTGAGCTTTCTTCGGCAGTCCTGTACTCCACACTCAGCCTCGGCGAGCAGCCAGGAGACCCCCCAGACTCGCCCGCACCATTGTCTCTGCTGGGTGCACCACCCTAAGTTCTGGCTCAGCTCTCAGAATAATGGACAGGCTGAGCTGGGATGACACCCCCAGAGACCTCACAGACCCTGACATGGGCTATACCCTGTCCCCACCGCCCAGAGACCATCTGCTTATCCCCTCTGCTCCCCTATCAGAAGCTTAGCCCAACTGTACTTGATGCACGGGGGCAGGATGGAGGCCCTTGGTGGGCAAAGGAACATCCCCCTGTGAGCAGGAGGGAGGCTCCAGGCCTAGCCCCCTCCTCCACCCCCATCTCCAGCCCCCAGGCAGTACAGGTCAGAGAGAGGAGGCAGGAAGGGGGTTGTAAACAGTCACGTTTTTAGCACAGCTTCAGGTGACAGCATCAGTAGTCTTTTTGGACATTTGCGGGGGGTAGGGTGGGGTGGGAGATGCTGGAGGAGTCAGAGGGTCCCCTGGGATTTCACCGCAGTGTGGGGATGGAGATGACCAAGGTGGCTTCTGTGGCCTCAATACAGCCTTTAGAGAAACCTGCTACTCCACTCACTCACTGGGGCCACGGTGCTTGGAGTGCCCAGGTGGGTGGCTGCTGTCCCACAGAGTCCCCAGAGCACACCCATGGACCCAGCATGATGATGAAGTCCAAGATGACCAAGAGGCTTCTCCCAGGGGTCATCCAGAAACCCCCTCCCCCAGCCACCCCACCTCAAGCAAGCCTGTTCCTTGCTCAGATGGCCATGCCCACAGTTCACCCTGGACCCATCCAGCTGACAGCTTCCCTTTGCCCCACTGGATACCTTCCTGTTCTCCTCAGAACCTCTACCTGCTAGGCCACCTGCCCATGCTCTCTGAGTCACCTTCTTTAGGCCATGTTCCAGATGGTCCAGGGCCTTCCACTCTAGCCCTGGGCAGGTCAGTCCTGATCCCCTCCTTCAATCTGCCAGCTATGCCTCTGTTAATATGGCCAAGGACCATGTCTGCCCTTCACAGGTAGTAGCCATCAGTACTCAGTGTCCATGGCCAGACTGTGTTCCTACACGAACCGGAGATGTTTGGAGGTAAGAAAAGAAAACCTGGGGCCCGTGGCCACACAGACCCCAACACGCTGTGGCTTCTGGTCTGCGGGAGACACACAGGCAGGGACACAGAGCACGTGAGCACTGCACACACCTCACACGCGTCCACAGGACAGCGTTACAGATGGGACGCCTCTGCCCGCAGAGTGGTGCGCGCCTTGGGCGCACTCAGGGCGGGGAAGCCCTGCCAGGCTGCAACCGGACGGATGGTGCTCGCCTACAGGTCAGGGTCCTCGTGGCTGCACACAACGCCCGCGTCCTCCTGGTGCTCGCAGTTGTGCGTGCCCACGCCGGCATGCGTGCACTCCAGCAGGTTGCGCTCGGTGCCCGCGCAGCGCACGTCATCCAGCAGGATGGGCAGCTTGCGGCCTTCGCCAAACTCAGCGCGCTTGGTGGCCCGCTCGGCATGAGCAAAGCCCAGCTGGCGGCACACGACGGCAGCCGCTTTGATGTCCCAGGCATCGTCACACACGGTGCCCCAGCGTCCACCCACGAACACCTCCACACGCCCGCGGCCGGGATTCAGGCCCGCAGGCCGCACCAGGCGCACTGCACCGTTTGAGGGCAAGGGGTCCGCCATGCCCGGTCGCCCCCGCCGCCCCCCGCCACCCCTCCGGCCCCCAGGCCGCTGGGTGGGCCGTGCAGGCTGCGGGGTGCGCCGTGCGGGCCGCAGGGTGGGCAGGGGCGGAGCAGCTGTGGGGCGTCCGCGGCGGGGCGCCTGGGTGGGTGCACGCGCTGTGGGCCGTGGGGTGCTCTCTGCCCTCCGGATGAACTCTGCGCAGAGGAAGAGCCTGCAGTCAGAGGGACCCCAGCTGCCCAGTTGTGCCAGTCTGCTTCTGGGGTCTCCCAGCACTCCTAGTCTTGCCCTCCTGGGAGTCCCTCCTCAGGCATAGGGGAACAGCCCCTCACACCGTTAACTCATGAGCCCAGTGGAAGAGAAGTGTCTGGGAGGGCTTCTGGGGCAAGTGACACTTTCTGGTTCCAGTCTTTGGTTTAGGGCTGAGGTAGCTGAGGCCCACTGATTGGGAAAATCTGCTGAGGATCTAATGACAGGCAGGATGGGAACTGGACTGCCAAGGGCCGGTCAGGGCAGGCTGGAACTCTCCACTCCACACTCCCAAGGCTGCTCGCTGGCTGGGGGCTGGGGCCCACACTGACCAGAGCCGGCATGAGGTCCAGGGCACCCCATCTACCCCACCACAGGGCCTGGATACAGTGAGCAGGGAGCCGAGGTGAGACCCCCTTTGTTCCTGCCGCACCCCGACATTCGCACCCGGCCCTAGTCAGCCACGGAGATAAAGCTCACCCTGCCTGAGACACTGCCAGGAGACGCGAACACCCAGACTAGTGCCTTACTATGGGGAGGGACCCCAGCCAGGGTCACCTGTCCGAAGTCCTCTACCCCCCACCTCAGTGGAGATGAAGGCTGAGAAAGGGCCTTGATTCAAGGCAAGGAGCAGGTCAGGGCCAGGAGACAGGGACATGGGCCAGACGCTCCCCCTGCCTGCGCCCTGGCCCCCACTCTACATGCAGGGAAGGACTTCCGGCTCCCCGGGCTGCCAGGGAGCCTTCTGCTTTGGCTCTTGCTCGTCCAATGGCCCAGAATCCCCCACCCCCACCCCCAGTGCACCTTTCTCTATGTTCCAGCCTCAACCCTCAGCCTGCAGGAGCCCCCACCCCCGTCCTGCACGGTTCTGGGTCCGCATGGCAGCTGGCACACACTTCTGTAACAGCCCTGGGACAGTAAGTGACTCCTCTGTCTGTCCCCGCCAGGACAGAGTCTGACTTCTCCCGGTGGCCCCAGCATCCAGCACAGAAGGGGTGACTATCCAAAGTGCCAGAAACTGCTGAATGAATGGAAAACTGGTCCAGGCCTGAAACCAGCTGCAGCTAGAATTAACTTCCTCAAACACTGAGCTCATTCCTTCCTCCAACTGTCCTCTCCTGGGGACACCCCTTTCTCAGGGCCGCCTACCCTCAGCTGCCAAGTGCCCAGCCTCCCCCCTCCCTGCTCCCCTGCTCCTCAGTCAACTAACGGGTGCCCTATCTATTGGGCCACTGCACCTTTGGCCTGCAGGGTGATTTTTAAGCTTTTGAGCCAAAGGTGCCAAAATTTACAAATGGAGAGATTGTATGTAACAACCCAAGGAGGCAGGGACCTTGTCTGTCTGGCTGAGCAGTCTGTCCCTGGCATGAAGCACGTGTGTGGGGTAAGTGACTGGACAGACGGACAGATGGATGGATGGATCCATTTCCCACTTCTCTGAGGACCTGGATGGCCAGGCAGCCCTGGCTCTATGTTCCCACACAGCCCGGGCCCAGGGGAACAGACCCCTTGTCATGCCTACCCTTTCAGTTGGCCCCAGATGCCAGGGGTCATCATCTGTGGCCTTGCTTGGCCCGCAGGTCCTGAGGGTTTGTGCCCACCTTCCTCCCCACCAAACCGACCAGACAGGACTGACTTCCAGCAGCCCCAGGAGATGCCCCTCCCCCTGCAGCCCCTGCAACTAGAATGACTCGTTCCAGTCTTGCTCCCACACGATGTACCCGCTCTCTCTTTCTGTCCCAAGGGCTCTGAGCGTACCTGCCCTGGCACCAGCCACCCCTTCCCGTCGCTTGTCCCCTCTGAGGCATGCAGCACCCTTGGGGCCACTCACCCATGGCCGGGGTTCAAGGAGTTGCATCCACTTTAACTGAGCGTCTAACGGGTGCCATTCCCAGTGCTAGGCATTGGGGCCCAGAGAGGGCCTCCAGGGCCAGTGGGAAGGAGGCATATCTGGGGAGGAGCAGCTGGGCCCCGGTCGCAGGAGCTCCCCTCCCCCGCTGCGACAGGGCTGGCAGGCACTTACTCTCTCTGGGCACAAATGGGAGGAGGCGGCTCTTCACCTTCACCTGGGCAGGCTGGATCCGACACTTGCCGGGAGGTGCCCGTCTGCCAACACACGGAGGTCATGAGTGCCACCCCGGGAGCCTCCCCTGAGCCTGTCCCTCGGACGCCCGCTCTCCCCTGGTAGCCAGGCACCTGTGCATTCAAGGGGATGTGAACAACGACGGTGGCCACCGGCGGAACACCTGCCGCGTGGCCCCAGGGCCCTGGGAGCCCAGCCCCAGGACAGAAGTCCTGATAACGGTCTGCCTAGAGTCCGGCCCGCATCTACTTTTCAAGGGCCCGAAGGCCAGTGGCTCGGCCTCTCCTGAGCCGCCTCCGCTTCAGACCATGAGCTGTCTTGGGAGCGTGATCGGGAGTCACAGCCCCTTTCCTTCCACCACCAGCTCCGCTGCCGCCAGAACCGTGACGGCAGCCTGATCCCCGCACCCCACCCTGGCCCCCACGCCCCAGCCTGGCCCCCGCACCCCCCGGCCTTTGAGGAGCTCTCTGTCTCCGCTCCTCTGGCCCTGGATTTTGGTGATGCCGCAGTGGAGTGAAAGGTAAGGTCATCTATAGATAAAGGGTCGGGCTGGCAGCGGAGCGGAGGGATCTGGGGCCTGGGGGGAGGGATCTGGGGCCTGGGGGGCGGGGCTTCAGAGAGAAAGGGGAGATACGCTTCTGAGAAGGGTTACCAGGGCTCTGAATTGGGTCTCCTTTGACATCCCCCAGGGGCACAAGTAAGGCATGGAATTCCATTTTAATTAGCTTTTGGCTGTGGATCTGTGAGTCTTTGAATGGGACCGACACTATTCTGGGACTGGCCCACGTGGGTCCAGACTTCAATAGGTTCCAGCAGCACAAGAGAAAAGCCCGAGGTGGCCATGTGACAGGACGTGGCTTCCAGACAGGCTTGGCCAAAGAGGGAAACTGAGGAGGGGTATGGGTCTTTCCTCCCAGAGGTTGAAGAAACACAGCCAGGCACACAGGCTTCCCAAAGCTGCAGAAAGAGTGGGTTTAGCTCTGAAGCCCAGATAATACCCACATGCTTCAGACAGACCCAGCACGGTTTTGTTCCGTAAGGAAATAATGTTACCAAAAAAAAAAAAAAAAAAAAAAAAAATCTCTGTTAGGGAAAAGGTAGGAGATGCAACCCTAAATGCTGCAGTGGTTTTGTCTGGGCAATGAGGGATGCCCACATCCTACTTGCCCACTGCCCACTCCCCAGTTCTTCCTTCCCTGTGTTCATCTGCAGCCTCTTTGCAGGATGTTGTGGGTGCAAAGAAAGACATGCATTCCAAAAGAGAAACACAAAAGAGAGGAGGGAGGGAGGGAGGGAGGGAGGGAAGGGAAGGAGTCTAGTTTGTTTCTGGCTCCCTTGAGCCAGAGAACTCCCTAAGCCTCCGGTCCCTTCAATTGCATAGGGGGAATGAGCCAACAGCAAAAGAAAGGTGCCTCGTGGCAAAAGGAGAGGGTGGGTCGAAGGCAGCCTCTGGCATAAATTACATGCTCCATATATGTGATATTTCCTTAGAGAAACACTCTTTAAAAATAAAAATGGGAAATAAGCTTAATGTCCCAGGAACGGGTAAGGTAATTGTGGCCCAGTGACCCACCAGCCGATTACACAGCCATTCAAGATGATGCTTTTGAGTGATGTTGCAACGTGGAAACGTTTATACAAAATAGGGAAAACGAACAAAGAAAAATGCCAAGTTTGCATGTGGTCCTCCGCATTGCCATAAATCCCACAGGCGCTAGCAGATAAAGCCAGAGGGGACCTGGGGGACACGGGAAGGAGGGATGAAAGGAGGAAGTCCTTATGTGTTTCTTGATGAATAATTATGTCAATAATGAATAGATTTGTGTTAAAAAAAAAAAGTGTGGTCAACAAGAAATGTCTGAAAAGCTGTCACAGACCAGAGGAAGCTAAAAAAATGTTATGACCAAGAAATATGAGATTTTAGAGAGGATCCTAGAACAGAAAAAGGACAGTAGGGGAAAACTAGAGAAATCCTGTAATTAATAGAAATGTGGCAACATCGGTCCATTAACTGCGACTAGCGTACCATGACTTCCAAGATGCTAATGGCAGAGGACATCGGCGAGGGATACATGGGAAACTCTGAACTATCTTTGCAAATTGTCCATCAATTTAAACCTACTCTAATTTTTTAAAACGATTTTTTGGAAGTGTGGTGGTGTTTTAGGATTTTTCCAAACCCAGGATGTTTCAGAGGTTAGGGTCACTATCCACGTCTGGGTGCTGCTGGATGCTGGATGTAAGTGGATTCTTTGAGGGCCCTGGGGGGGGGTGCTTTGTGCTGGGGGTGGGTGCAGATGTGCCCACATGGGGCAGCTCGCCCAGGTGCTGAATGGGGGTGCGAAGCGGTGGGAGCCCAGCTGAGAAGCAAAACTCAAAGGGCTAAGAAGGACTGAGAAACCCAATCACCCATTCATTGGTTAAACATGCCTGCGTCTCTGCTCTGTGCTCCATACCAGGCCCAGGGCCAGCACTGCTTCTGAATGGGTGGAGGGGCAGAGCTAGCCCTGGAGACTCTCTGGCCAGGGGAAGATTACAGATTATGGTTCTGAGTGGTGAGAGCCACAGGGAGCACCGGACAAAGCCTGGATGGAAAGGCCCCTCCGCAGCAGTGAGGCCTAAGGCTGAAGGGATAGCTTCATGCAGTCATGGGGTCAGAGCAGAGCTCTGGAACCAGCTGCCCATCCCGAGTCCAGCTCTGGCTCTGGCTGGGAGGGGGTGCCCACTTTTATAGGATTTTCACCTCTGTAAACGAAGCGGCTGAAACGGCAAGGAGTTTTACGAGGCAGGAGTCAGAGCACTGCCTGGCACCAAATTAGCAGCTCTACATAGAAGCAGAGCAGATGGAGACGGGCACTGGGGGGGCCAGGGAGGTGTTCTGGAAGCTCTAGCATGTTCTAGACCGGAGCAGGTGGGTTGGTTTGCCCAGGCAGAGGTGGGGCTGCAGGGGGGGAGGGCAGCCTCGTGGTGGGGACAGGCGGAGATCAAGGTGTCTCAGAGGCAAGTCGGGGGCTCGGGGAGGTGGTGCAAGGGGTGGGGTGGCCCAGGAAATGAGGGGTGAGGGGTGAGTCAGAGAGGAGAAACGATGGGGTCGGGTGGACAGCAGGCCAGAAAGCGAGGTCAAACCCGTGATTATCTGGCCCAGGCAGCGTCCTTGGCACCCCCCTACCGTGAGTAGAGCTAGATTTGAGGCAGTAGATCCAGGTTTGAGCCCTGGGTCTGCCCCTCACCAGCACTATGGGCCAGGCCGGTCACTACCCTTCTCTGGGTCTGTTTTCCCTTCTGAAAAATGGGGCTATGAATAACACCCTCCTGTAGGGGGTGGTGGAGAGGAAAACAGGGCAATGGAGGTGAGGGGTGCTGGCAGACAGCAGGAGCCCAGGCAGTGCGGTGGGCGGGGCTCACCTGGAAGGGTCGATCACCTTGTAGACAACCCCACGGGCCGCCGTGGCACTTGGCACACCTGTTGACATGAAGTACAGCTCCCCTTGGACAAGAAACCAGGCAAGGAGTGAGAACACTGCTTGGAATATGGTCCCGGCCAGGACCCTGTCCCCTGCCCTCCTTACCCACCCTGGCCAGCTCCCCTCAGCCTCTGAAAGGGACCCCAACCTCAAGGAGGTCTGCGAAGCCCTTCAGTGCCCAGAGCTGAAACCAGAGGCTGAGAAAGGCAACAGTGTCCCCAGCTGCCGGCTGCTCTGCCTGGACCTAGCCATGTTCTTGCCTCCTCCTGGAGACCCAGCCCCACCCTCGTCTCTGTCTGGCCTCATGCCCGGTGCACACCCCTCTGGGCACGAGTGAGGGTCCACAGTCCGGCTCCCCAGCAACCGCTGTTCCTGGAACTCAGGAAGGCCTGCTGTCCCCGAGCCTGCCCATGCAGGACGCATGGGGGCTGGAGGCCCAGACACAGCCCATGCGTGATGTGATGGCTCAGCCATGCTAACACCTCTTTCTCTGCAAGACAGTGAAGAGTTCTCACAAAGACAGGGCCGTCCCCGAGGAGAGCCTAAGACAGGCAGAGAGCTGTGAACTCTGAGGAAGGCATCTTTGTGGGGATGGATGCAGTCAAGGAGGGCTGCCTGGGGGTGGGGCCAGAGAGTCAAGGCCGGGGAAACCCAGGGATCTCAGGAAAGGCAAAGACACTTGGCAGGCCAACTTGTGTAACTGGGGTAGACCCAGCTGCGGTGGGAGCAGGGGGCCAGGGAGGGCAGGGTGCTGAGTGCTCAGTGACCTCTGACTCCCCTCTGGGAGCACCAGCCCTGCTTTGGTGGGGGGCTGGGGGTGGTTAGTAGGTCTCCAAGGGGATGCAAACATACCCCAGCAAGACAGCCCCTGCTGGAGAACCCAGAGACACAGGCATGAATTTGCTGTACAGTCTTGGGCTGTCGCTTCCCTCTCTGGGCCTCTTTCTGGAGAGAAGCCTCTGGGAGCCACTGTCCCCTCCTGGGCTGTGCAGCCCTCACACCTACTCTCCAGCCCTGTGGAGCAACCCAAGACTCCCACACGGGCAGCTACCTCGGCCTGGAATGCCCTTCTCCAGGGCCTGCCTTTGGCTGACCAAGCTGAAGCTTAGGGCCCTGCTCTGGGAGGCCTCCGGGCAGCAGGTCCGGTGCGGTACCCCCAGCCCCACCTCGGTAAAGTGACAGGCTTACACCAGGCCCACTCCTTGGCCTGTCAGTCTCGTCTGCTGGGAAAAACGGCCCCCAACGCCATGCACAGGCAGGGAGCCTCCCCGCCCCCCACCCAGCATTACCCAGCCCTACCCAGGCCACACCGTCCTCTTCTCTGGGGTGTAGACTGTCCCTGGAGGTCAGCGGGCCAGCAGAGGTCCTTGTTTTGCAATTTGCAAATGTCAGAAGAACAACTGGAGAGCCAGAGCCAGTGGTTGGGGGAGGTTTGTTTGTGTTGGACCCCAGGGCTCTGTGCCTTCCAGGGGCTGCCTGCCCAAGCTCACTAGCACGCTGTCCCTGGGCCATGTGCTGTCCCTGGGCCGATTTCGAGGAGGCTCCTCCTGGCTAAGGTTACTTGATGTCATTCAGAGGGCTGAACAAGGGCCCCTTGGAAACTGCACTTTCCAGGCCCTGCCCCTGGGGCACCTCCTTCCAAAACACATTAACCCCCTACAGACCGAAAGAAAGGGCTTTCAAAGCCCAGTGGGCTTGGGAGGGCAGTGGGGGCTGGGGCTGCCCTTTTGAAAATTTAGATTGTGACGGGTGTCATCCAACAAAGGTTTCCCAGACTTAGGCCTGGGGGCTCTGGGCACTGGGCCCCCGCAGGGGATACCCCTCCAAAGGCCCCTGGGTGGGCGTTGCCTAGCAACCCTGCCAAGCATCCCCCAGGCCCCACTGGGGGCCCCTCGGCTTTTGTCCAGGGACAATCGGGGCCAAGGACAAAGGCAGGGGCTGGAGCAGGATCCAGTCTCCACGGCCCTTCATCTTCTCTCCTCCCTCCCTGTTCCTTGCATCGAAAATACAAGAGCCTGAATGGGAACCCACTAATAAGGAGGTGGTGTCTACCCACTTTCTGAAGATCATGTGGCTTAATTTTATAGGCCAGATTTCTTGGCCATCAGGCGCCCAGAGTAGTATAGGTCTGGGACACACTCTTCCCCCACCAACCTGCATTTCCACCATGACAAACCCCTTCCTGGTCCGCTCAACTCCACAGCCCAGAAGCAGGTCTGCAGGAAGTGGGGGTGGGGACTGTGCTCCCACCTTCCAGATGAGGAGACAGGAGCCCAGGCTGGTGAGGACCGACACCCAAGCGAGGTCTCGGGCTGCTGCCCACTTGCTCCCCAGCCAGAAGGCCTGAGACTCCATCTCGGGATTCCACCCAGGTCAGAGGACCCACGGGGCAGGGAACAGTCCCAGGCATCTGGCCCGGAATGAGAGGCCTTGGGGCCTCAGGAGTGCTCACCAGCCTCATCCTCAGCAAAGGAGATGATATAAGGGTAGTAGTTGTTAATGAGGCCCGGGAACGCACAGGTCTGGCCTCGACCCATGCAGATCTCGCTGTACCGCCACTGGCCTGTCTCCACGTTCTCTCGGAGGGACATCAGGCGACTGCAAAGAAGCAGGAGCTGTGTGGTCATGCCTGGCGGGGTGCCCGGGGAGCCCCACCCACGGTCCATCCAGGTACCCACTCACTCATGTATTCTTCATGAACCAGGACCCTACAGCATTTGCAGGATCCTGTGTGTAAAGTAAGCGTGCAGGGCCCCTTGTTCCAAAAGTACTAAGGATTTCAAGGCAGTGAGAGCTGAACATGAAACCAAGTGCGGGCCCTTCGGAACACGGGGTCCTGGCAAACGCACAGGCGGCAGCCCACAGGGCGGGCTCTCAACACTTCCCCGTAGTCTAATGGTCAGGATCCGCTGCTCTCATAAAGCTGGCCCAGCCTGCAGCCTTCCCTGGGTACCTCCTCTGCACCAGAGAAGGGCGGGGGAAGGTGACCAGCTTGTCCCCTACTCGGTCAGCTCAGCCCCAGCTGCTGACCCACGGGAGGCAGTCAGGAGCTGAGGAATTCTCCAGGGCTGGTGACCAGAAGTCCGGGCAGACTGGAGCAGCCTCCGCTCCCGCACGAGATGGAGCTCAGGCATCTTCAGAATATGCCCACCTTGCCCTTAATTCCCTTCTTCTCCTGTCAGTCACCAGACCTTGCTTGGATGTACCCTCCTCTGGGAAGCCCTCCTGACTGCCCCTGCACTAGGCGCCCCCAGCACCGAGCACAGGCTCCCTGAGGCTGGACTGGAATGGACCAAGCATGGGTCTGTCTCCCTGACTTGGGCGCAAGGTGCTTTCAGCTCTGTTGCCCTGACTGTGGCACAAAGCCAAACCCAGCAGAAGGGCTTGGGAAAAGCTAGCAAAATTAGTTGAATCTCTGTGGAATTAGTTGAATCCCTGTGGGAGAGCAGGAGGGGGGAAAGAGAATCAGGCACAGAAAGAGAGGCTTCGGGGCACCTGGCTGGCTCAGTGAGTGGAACATGTGACTCTTGATCTTGTGAGTTCAAGCCTCGTGTTGGATGTAGAGATTACTTAAAAAAATAAAATCTTAACAAAAAAAAAAAAGAGGGCTCCTGGGTGGCTCAGTTAAGCATCTGCCTTTGGCCCAGGTTGTGATCCCAGGGGTCCCAAGATCAAAGCCCGCATCAGGATCCCTGCTCGGTGGGGAGTTTGCTTCTCCTCCTCCCTCTGCTTGCCACTCCCCCTACTTGTGTGCTCTTTGTCAAATGAATAAATTAAAAAAAGAGAGAGAGAGAAAGAGAAAGAAAGAGAGGCTTCATCTAGACCCATTTCCAGATGGAAAAGCTGAGCGGGAGAGGCAGACCCTAAGGGAAGAGGCCCCAGCACCCAGAGGCTCAGGTCAGGCTTCTCCCTTGGCCCCAGCTGGCCATGTGGAGGCCACAAACCAATCTCACACCAGCAGCCTGCAAGAGATGGGAATTATCTGGCTAGCCTCGAGCTTCCGTATCTCCTTGTTTTTACTCCTGGGGAACCCTGTTCAGGTGTCCTCATGTGGAGAGGCTAGGGTGGGAATAATTTTTTTTTTTAATTTTGCTTTTTCTTTGAGTAGGCTCCACGCCCAGTGTGGGGCTTGAACTCACAACCCTGAGATGAAGGGTCTCCTGCTCTACCACCTGAGCCAGCCGGGCACCCCAGGTAGGAATAACTAGGAGCCACCAGATACTGAGTGCAAACTAGATTCCAAGTGGTGTATGTGTCTTAACTGACTCAGTCCTCCAACCCTAGGAAGCAAGTACTGTTATCATCTCCCTTTTACAGATGAGGACACGGAAGAACAGAGAGGTGACGTAACTGACTCAAGGTCACACAGCTACTAAGTGGGCCAGGATCAGACGCAGCAATCTCAGATACATTTTTTTTTAAGATTTTATTTTTAAGTCATCTCTACCCCCAACCTGGGGTTTGAACTTATGACCCAGATCAAGAGTCACATACTCTACTGACTGAGCCAGTCGGGCACCCCATGAACTTAAAAAGAAAGAAAGGAAGGAAGGAAGGAAGGAAGGAAGGGAGAGAGAGAGAGGGAGGGAGGGAGGAAGGAAAAAAAAATCTTTACTTGGAGCACCTGGCTGCCTCAGCAAGGCACCAGGGACCCCCACAGTCAGCCCCTGGCTGGAGCCCCAGCTCCCCCCTCCCCAGCAGAATGACCTCTCCAGACTCTTCTAGAGGAATTCTCCCCAGAAACCCAGTCAATCCGTGAAATGAGAGGCAGGTCCTGGCTTCTGGGGAAACCAGGTGGCCCAGAGTCTGTTGAGGAAGTTGTTCCTGTTGCCCCCACCTTCCACCTCTGCCCTCCCTGCCCCCCAGCACTGCTGTCAGGCTTGGAACCCATGGCTGTCCGGTGGGAGGGGAAGACCAAGGGGTCTGCACGTCAACAAGCATCCCCTCTGTGGTTGGGAGTCGAGCCTTCATGGCGCTGCTTGAGGCAGCCAGCAAGGCTTGGGAAGACTATCTGGAGACAGGGGGCGGGTTAGGCTGCTTCCTGAGATGTGACTTCCGACTCCCTCCCAGAGGAGGAGACCTGCTTGGCTCCCGCTCGGAGGTCCCGGTCAGAGGGCAGCGACCACGTGCCCCCTGCGGGCACACACACAGCGTACCTGTACCCTGCTTTCTACAGCAAGCCAGCGGCAGAAGCTGCTTGGCATCGGAGCCCACGAGCCACTTACCCACTCATAAAATCGCCGAAAATGTAGAGGCCATTCAGGTTGGGGTACTCACAGCCCCGGTACACATAGCCTCCCGTGACAGACTTGCCCAGTTTGTGCGGATAGGCGAAAATCGGCAGGATGTCATCTGCAGAGAGGGGAGAAGCTGGGATGAGCTTACCGGTCAGCCCCTCCCCCACAATGAGCTTGGTAGGTGGTCTGAGTCTAGAGGGGCAAGAGGAGGTGAGGTCACTGGGAGGGCTGGAGTTGGGGGCCCCACCGAGTCAGGAAGGAGGAAGGTGCTTAGGGCTTGGGTAGAGTGGGGAAGAGAGAGCATGGGTTTGCAGGGATGGGGTGGGTAGGGAGAGCCAGGAGCAGCCCCGCAGCGCTGGGGAGGCAGGGAGAGGCGAGGGGAGATCCAAGATGGGGGCGCACCAGGTCCCGAGGCAGGCACTGGCGCACACCCCATGGCATGGGGTATGAGCATCTCCGGGGGCTCGGGGCGGTCTCGATGCGCCATGAGGGCGCGGGGGGCACAAGGGAGGCGCTGAGCACAACCATGGGAGGGGGGATGCAGAGCCGGGGAGGTGGGACCCCGGGGGCGCGGTCACCAAGGGAGGCGTTGGCGCAGAGCTTGCGGTCGTAACACTCGAAGCCTTCGCGGGCGCGCCAGCCGTAGTTGCCGCCGCGCTCCACCAGGTCCACCTCCTCGAACTTGTTCTGGCCCACGTCTCCGCAGAAGAGGCGCCCGCGGCCCTCTCCTGTCGCTGGGTCGCCGCGGTCGAACGAGCAGCGCCACATGTTGCGCACACCCAGGGCGTAGACCTCGGGCCGCGCAGCGGGGTCGCCCACGAACGGGTTGTCGCGCGGGATGCGGTAGAGGGGGCCGCGCTCGTTGCGGTCCACGTCGATGCGCAGCACCTTGCCCAGCAGCGCCGACCTGCGGGCCAGGGGGGACAAGGCGCAGCTCGGGCTCAGCCAGCGCCAGGGTTCACCCCAGGGCACCGGGGGCAGCCCACGGAAGGTGCCGGGCCAGGTCAAGGCCAGCCTAGGCTGTAGTGCCAGAGACCCTGGTTCAAGTCCTCCCTAGCTGCTTACCAGCTGGGTACCCGCATTCATGCGTTCATTCATTCATTCAGCATTTCTGGGGCACCCTCTCAAGTGCCAAGCAGCGGGAAGCGTTGGACATACTTACCCTCTACTGTCCCATCTCATCCTCACCACCAACCTTTTAGGTCAGTGAGTACCACTGTGATGCCCTCTTAGAGATGGGGCAGCTGAGCTCAGAAAGGTCACATAACGTGCCCTGTTGTCACACGGCTAGTAAAGGGTGGGCTGGGATCCGGCGCACACAGCGGGACCACAGAAACCCAGGCTCGTGGCCACAACACTTGTTCCAACTTCCCCATGCCTGTCTCCTCACTGCCATGTTAGGGTGCTCCCTTTCCCTCCTGTCTTCTTACAGGGTTGTCCCAGGGAGTGAAAACACTCCCCCAAGACTCAGATGTACAGTTTTCTTCCAACACTCAAGACAGTGACCGGAATGTGAAAGGGGCTCATTCAGTGTTTGGTGAGTGAATGGCTGTAATCCAAGTCAAGTGCAGAAGTACAGGGCAGGGCTCAGGGACAGGGAGAGAAAATGCTGCAGATCTCAGCAGGAAATGGGAGGCTGGGGTCCTTGCTTTCTCTCTCACCATCGAGGACATGAGGGGGCAGAACAACCCCATGTCAGACAGACTCAGCAGCCCTTCACCCCATGCCACACCCACCACCCCTACCTCAGAGATGAGGCCACCCAGGCTGCAGAGGGGGACAACTTGCCACTCCCCCAGGCAGCTCTGGGCTGGCTGGGCCACTTCCATGGCACCAGGCAACATCAGTTTCTGGGGCCCCAAGAGCGAGGAGAGCTCTCTAGAGCACCTCCTTATCACCAGGCTCTTGTCTTCGCTGTGAGCACTCTAGTGCCCCCCCATCCCCGCCCTGCCCCACTGCTTTCCCGGCAGGACTGAGCAGTGTGCATCGCTGTGTACCCTCATTCCAGCCCAGTGTCCGCACCCAAGCCTCCGGCTCACCATCAGACATCTCAGCAGTGCCTTCTTTAACCCTGGAAGAGGCTCCCACCCAGGAATCCCCCATGGTTAATCCCCCATTTGTGGTCTCTTATGACTTGCTCTGAGGAGCCCCCCGACGCACTCCAGCCCACTGGGCACAAAGCTTCCGATCCCAACCTGAGCCCCCACGCCGCGCAGCCAGCTTCATGATGCAAGTGGGCAAAACTCATAGCAGCAAAATAATGTTTTAAGTTCCGTCCAATTATCCCCAAATCCTTAATTTCTATTTTCCCCACTACATCGCTAAACACATCCCAAACATGAGAAGGCCGCAGGGATTCTTACACTGTCACGTATGAAAGCGCACGTCACGGACTGCGAACACTTTAATTACTGTAATCAACATCACCCTCGCTATTTTTACTTTCTGGGCTAAGGAAGGTTTTGTCATTTTTGCTAAGAGAATGGAAGAGGCTGCCCTAGATATCCTCATCGACAGCATGTGTGTGCCTGTGTGTGTGTGTGTGTGTGGAGGAGGAGACCAGCAGGCCGTCTGCTCAAGCCAAGAAGTACAACAGCAAGCCTGTGCCTCAGTTTCCCATATAGCCCTGTTCTGACCAGCTCACGCTCCCCATTTGGTCTGGGAAGGCTCCCTTTCCTTCCTCTGATTCGAGCGGGGCTGGGCTGACTTCCCAGAGGCTCTCTGATGTCCCTTATCAGGCATCCGTGACAAGTGGGTTCTATGCCTGCCCCTCACAAACACGATCACCTTTACTGCTCATGACAAGCCTTCCCCTGGAGATTATATTCTTCCCTCCAACTGATGAGTAGAAGTGACTTGATGGGGGTCCCCCACTGGCTAGCTGCAGACTGAGCTGGGACCCCAAGCCCTTTCTACTTACTGCTCTATGCTGCGCGGTTGAGGAAGGAAGTCCCCCTGCAGAAGAGTATATGAACCAACCCACTGGCCAGCCAAAAGCAGAACATACTTGTTTTGAGCATTCCCGAACTTCCCAAAGGGGTCTCCGGCCATCCCGCCGTCACCAGTAAAGATGTAGAGGTACCCATCGTCCCCGAACAGCAGCTGGCCCCCGTTGTGGTTCGAGGCTGGTTCTTTGATCTCCAGGATTATCCTAAAAGAAGACAGGCCACCCCCACCAAACAAACAAAAAAACACCAACCTCAGCCAAAAACACAAGACAAGATCACACCAATAAAACCTCTCTCTTGGATGCCATTTTGCCGTTGAAAAGACTTTTCATATATTTTGTAGCAGGGGATTTTTGTAAGGGTCTAGTAGGCTGGGCAGGGATAATTCACTCCATTGTGCTAAGGAGGAACCAGAGGCTCAGAGAGGTTGAGCAACTTGTCCAAGGTCACACAGCCCATAGGTAGCAGGGCTGGGACTAGAACTCAGTTCTTTCTACTGTTCCCCACTTCTACCTCCCCAGTGCCCAAGTCACTGGCACAAAAGGTTTCTTCGTAATCATAGCTACCTGCCTACCAGCCACATAAGACGAGCACTTTCTACACACACCTGTCATTCGTTGTGTACTGTAATTTCTAAGGAGGTGGGCTGTGTGGGGTGAGTTGTGCTCAGTTACACACTCAACCCCTTAGAGAGCTCCTTTACTGCCATGGCCTTCTGCTACATGGCCAGCCAGCTGGCTTCTGGTTAGGGTTCCAGTGGAGAGTGGAAGGGCAAGAAGACAGGAGAAGTCACACTTCGCTGGCTTCTGGCACTGTCTCCAGAAGTGGTGGCTGCAGGAATGGAAACAGTGGCTCGCAAAGGGGGACTCTTGGGTTCCACCCAGACATCTTGGTACCAGGAGCAGCAAACTTTGCAACACAAAGACCTTTTCTGTTCTGTTCGTCCGGGTTCTTGCAATTACTAATCTTCAGGTAACTTTGACCTTCCCCTTTTCCTTCTCCAGATCCTCCCAATTCCTTTGTAGCCAAATCCCTGTTTGCTTAGGTTTTCCAGAATAGGTCACGGACTTAACTAATCTCTTATTAATACAGAGAAGAAAAACCAAGGCACAGGAAGGTCAAGTAACTTGAACCCAGGACTTAAGGGCTCCAGAACCAAGACTGGAAAACTTTCCATCGAGGCCAATACACATCACTTGGGGGGTGAAACAGAGCCCCAGACACCAAGTCCTCCCTGGAAAGGACAGCTCAGACTGTGAGACATCCACCTACCATGAGGATCCCAGCCCTGGGAACAAGGACTGACAGCTGACTTGGGCAAGGGTGACCACTTGGTCTTAGCCCCTCCCTGAGCCCCTACCTCTCCCTGTGTGAGTCAAGTTCGAGGCTTGTACTTGACAGGTCCCCAGAGGACCCTCACTGAACACTCACTCGGAAATAGACTCCTCTCTATACTGTGTGTCCCACCTTCTGTTTTTACCAGGAATCCTTTTTTTAAAGTTACCAAGGAAGCACATCCATTCTGTCCCTTTGACTCTCGGTGCGAGCCATGTGATAACTTGGTATCTCTTGGAGAACGGGTTGTACAGTCTCGTATCAGATAATGAGAATTATGCTTTCTCCTTTCACTCTGGCTGTCAGGATGCTCACAGTCAAAATTAACACTGCATGACAAGACCTACATTAGCCTTCATGCCAGCCAGCCTATTTGATTCCTTCTCCTTTTTATACTTTCAGTGTCAAGATTTTACAGTTTTATTAAATGTCCAATGTGCCATTATTTGCCTTTTTGCCTCAGATCAGTCCTGTTTGGCCCCTACCTGCTCTCTAAGTCAAAGACTCAGATCCTGCAAACTACATTTCCCATGCTCCTTTGCTGGCTGGCCTGCCGCTAGGGACAGCCAATGGAAGGCACTGGCTGGAGACTGGAAGGTGGGAGGAAGGGAGAATCCAGGGTATTTCTCCCCATCACGTGCTCTCTCTCTCTGCCGGGCAAGCCTTGGCCGCAGCTGCACTTCCTCCCTGGCCCCGGCTCCCCTGCCCAGACCCACTGTGGTTCCAGCTGCCCTGAGTGCCCCCACCCCCGGCCCGCTCTGGGGCTCTAGCAACCCCACCTTCTCACCTTGACACTCCAGCCCGAGATGTGGAGACAGCTTCCTCCAGTTGGGAAATTCAGGCTTACCTTACTTCCTCCCCAGGTTGCTCTTTCATTCCTAATGCCTGAGGAGCTAATTCCCAGTATCCAGTCCTGCCTGTTGACCTACTACTTGGATTTATTTTCCTGTTGGACCCAGACTGATGCAAACGCCCTTCATGGGTGGTTTTGAAAACAGTGGGGGGCACAGATAATACACAGAGAGGTGCTTATGTTGAGAGGGCTGAATACACCTCCTGGGGTAGGGGGCAGAGGGTCCGGGGGAGCAGAAGTGGAAGGTGCGGCTCAGGAGACAGACACACCCGGATTCCAGCTCTGAGGCTTCCCAGTTGTGTGGCCTGGCCGGTCATTTCACCTCTCCAAGCCTCCACTTCCTCACCTGGGAAATGGGGAGCCTACTGCTACCCGAATCGGGAGCTAGGAGAATCGAATGAAACAAACCACCCGCAGTGGCTGATCCAGAAGTCTGGACGCGATCCTGGGGTGCCGAGCCCAAAACACGGGCTCAGCCCCCCTCACTGGGTGTGATGGAGGATTTAAGACGGGTGCAGGCCCACCCTGTGTGTACCGGGGCCCGCCAGCCCAATCCCAGCCCTGCCCCACCCGGTGGGGCCCCTCCAGGGAAAGCACCTCTCCGAGCCGTGGTCCACGGTGTTCATGTCGTCCGCGGAGACCCGGAACTCGCTGATGCGGATCCACTCGTCGAAGCCAAACCCCACTGAGTAGTAGACGTAGAGCTTGCCATTGTGCCGGAAGCTGGGGTGGAGGGCTATGCCCAGGAAGCCCCGCTCGTCGCCCTCCCAGGGCGAGGTGAGCACCGCTCGGCTGATGTTCAGGAAGGGCTTCTCCAGCCGCGAGCGATCGGGCAGGTAGGCCCACACCAGCCCCACCTGCTCGGCCACGAAGAAGCGGTGGGTGCCGTCCTGTGCGTGCACCATGGCCACGGGGTTGCGCAGCCCGTTGGCCACCTCCTCCAGGCACAGCTGCAGGCAGCCCTTGGCATCGGCTACCACGCGGCCCAGGTTGGAGTTGAGGTTCTCGTTGACCAGCAGGTGGGGGAAGCAGTAGTCCACGTCGTCCAGCGACAGGTAGCGGCAGAACTTGGCCCGGTTGCCCTCCAGGGCCCAGAGCTCTCGGTCAGGCGACAGGTGGCGAAACAGGCCCCGACACGTCTGCCACATGTCCAGACAGTAGTCCTCGCAGAGCCCGGGCACGGTGCGCAGGGGCGTCGACGGGTCCTCGGCATCGTAGAGGTGGGCCGCGTATGGCGAGCAGTCCTGCAGGGACAGGGCCATCCCCGGGATGCTGTGGGCAGGTGCATACCAGCTGGATGACCGCTGGCCGGGTACCCACCTGCTAGAGCCTCAGGCTGCCGGCCTGTAAAGTGGGGACAACACCATCTATCTAGCAACACAGGAATTCTCCTCACTGGCTGCAACCCTCACCCTCCTGTCCCCTTATCATCTATCTCTTGCCTTATTGCTTCTGTTGGCACGAGCAGCCACAACCGTTACTATTCCCGCTAGCAGCAGCAGCTGACCTCGAGCCCCTACTGGGCGCCAGAAAGGGTCTGCGACAGTTTTACATACGATGCCCCAGCCCTATATCGGCATAACTTACTCCCCACTCAAGGGACAGCTCCTCAGAGAGCACACATCCCCCACCCTAACTACCTCCTAGCCTCCGACTCTGCTTAACCCCCCCCAAAAAACCCCAAACCAAAAACCTTACCAGGACTCGGTATCATAATAAAAATTAATGTGTCTGAGTGTTTACTGTCTATCTTCCTTGGAACCTAAATCCTACGAGGGCAGGTGTTTTGCCTGTCTGGTCACTGTGTGTCCCAGAACCTCACAGTGCCTAGCACATAGCGGGGCCAGAGTGAGTGCTTAGGGCGTGTGCTGGGTACTAACTTACCTGACCTGCCCTAGACAGTGAATGGTGCTCCTACCTCCGTTACTCAACCTTCACAAAGGCCCACAAAGGGAAGAGTGCTGCAGACGGGGGACCGAGGCACAAGTCCCCCCCCCCAGTGTCATTCAGTGCCATTTGGTCAGCGTGGAGGGGTAGGGGTTTGGTCTGGGATCAGCCCTGCCCTCCCTAGCACTGTGGAGTCTGGCTTGTGGCAAGCTGGTAACACCCCTGCCCACATGTCCCCACCCCCCACCCTGGCCCCAGCCCTTTCTTCCTCCCTTGCTCAGAAACCTCAGGTGGGGTCTTGAGTTGTCCTCTGCTCTGGGGGCAGATGGAGCAGCCGCACTCAGCCTCCCTGGCCCCTGCTGAGGGTTCCCCCACTGATGAGACACTGGGGGCCCCACTCAGTACCCATATGGGCACGATCTGGAATACGGAGCGTTCATGCCTCCTGGGGCAAAACTTTGAGCCCTGGGAGGAGGGAGCTAATGGATAAAGTGTTCTGCCCTCCTTCCTGTCCAGCAGAAGGTCCTGATTCACGGTGGGGATGACTTCTTGGAACCACGCTCCCCCTCTGCTGGTGGGGCCAGGCTGGGTTCCAGCAGGAGGCCTCCAAGGACAGGAGGGGGCAGACTGCCCTCTGGCGTGTGTGTTCAGGCCCTGGGCCAAGGGTGACGCTCTCCCTTTCAACGACTGTGGTCACACCACGGCCTTGTCCTCCCGGCACCTTAGTGCTACTGTGAGGCTGAGGGCCACTTGGCGATGGTCAGCCACTGTCCCGGGCCCAGACGCGGAGACCACGTTTCCCATGTCACCCTTTACTGACGAGGTCGCTACGCAGTACCATTTCCCTCACAGCCCCTTGGAGCCTCCCACATGTCCGGCCAGCAGCTCTGGGTGGGCTAGGAAGGGTCGGCATGCACACATGCCTCACTTAATATTTGCAAGGTGAGGTCACTGCGACTCCCATTCTATAGATGAGGAACTGAGGCTCTAGGAAGTCCCTGTGCCAAGAAGTGGTCACACGAGGGCTCAGACGCAGCCCTCATGACGCCCGGACCGCTGCTCTCCCCAGATTAGCCAGCAGTGTTTCCTTCAGCAAGTGTTGACCGGACACGGACTATGTGCCAGACGCCGTCCTCAGCCCCAGAAATACGACAGGACTAGAAGAGACTTCTAGAAGCCAGTCTGAGTGCCCTCCACTGGTCAAAGCCCAGCCCAGAGCTAGAGAGGGAGCACAGAGGGCCTCCAGGGACAGCCATGCTGGAATTTGAGCCTCCACGCACCCAACACTGGGCCTGGCAAGCTCTTACTCGTGGCCTGTGTACTCTTACTTACACACAATGCAAACGTGGTCCTCAGACCCGAGCAATCCAAAAGCAGGACAGGACAGGGGAGTGTCATGATCGCTGCTGGCAAGGATGATCAGTGGAAGAGGCAGGAGAAACCCCAAGAAAAACTGATACAGCATCACACTACTCAGTTGCCTGGGCCATTCAGCGCGGAAGCAAACAGCCTGCCGCCCAGAAACGGCCACTGTGGGCTTGGTGACATCCGTGACTCACGGCCCTGAGTCCCAAAAATTTCTAACGTCTACACCTGTTCCTTAGGAAGGCTGAGACTTTGCACACAGTGTTCTCTTGGGAGGATATTTCCTCCTCTCCCATTTCCACATCTGGCAAACTCCTATTCATGACTCCAGGCCCAACTGAGGAGCCTTCTCTGACTCCCCCCACCCTCTCCCAGGACTCCCACCCCTGGCCCTATTGCATGCTCTCCCAGCTCTCCGTCCGTACCTCAGACACAACATCATCAGAATGTAACTGTGGCTTGTGGGGTGAACTTTCCACTTGTGCTGGCACTTCCCCATGGCGAGAGATGACTCAGCCAGTCTGCCTGCCTAGGACTTGGTTATCTCTTGGTATGTCTATCTGCCCCACAGACTATGAGACCACCCAGGGCAGGGGTCCCAGCACACAGTGGGGCTCCAAGAAAACAGGCGATATGAGAGAGTTATTAAGGGAAGGGCTTTGGAGTTAGAGTGTACTGCAGACTGAGTTTACAATTCCCTGTGTGACCTTGGGCAAGTTCCTTAACCTCTCTGGGCCTGTGTCGTCGTCATCTGTAAAAGGGGAAAGGAATTCCAACCTCATGGGTGCCTGGGTGGCTCAGTGGGTTGAGCTGCTGCCTTCGGCTCAGGTCGTGGTCTCAGGGTCCTGGGATCGAGTCCCACATCAGGCTCTGCTCAGCAGGGAGCCTGCTTCCCTCTCTCTCTCTGCCGGCCTCTCTATCTACTTGTGATCTCTCTCTGTCAAATAAATAAATAAAATCTAAAAAAAAAAAAAAAAAAAAAAAAAAAAAGGAATTCCAACCTCATAGCTGTTGGGAGGAATAAATGAGATGATGCATATGTTGTTCAGTAAATGCACAAACTAGATGAACTCTCAATGTCTCCTCTTCCAGGAAGGCTTCCCTGACTTTTCCAAGGAAAGTACAGCCTTTGTCCCAATGCCCCATAGTGTTCAGTCACCCTTGGGAAGGCTTTTATGTGTTCTGATAAGATCGGTGTGTCTGTCTCCTGACTTGAACAAGGGGACTTTTGAGGCTGGGCTTGTGACTTGCCAACTGCCTCTGGGCCCAGGACCCAGCACAGGGCCAGGTCCTAACAGGCTCTGGGGAAACGTCGGTCCAGTACACGTGCCTACAGGGCATGTTCCACATAGATTTCCATCAGAAACCAGACTTGGATGACTTCTGGTTACGCAGAGAGGCAAGCTCAGTTATCCAGGAAGGTCGTGGTGTGCACAATATGAACCTGGGGGCAATATGTCCCAAGCTGCCTTTTCTCCTCTTGATGACACAGGCATTGGCTCGATAAGGGCGAAGCCCTCAGAAAGAGTCTGAAGGGGCCACGAGGGACAGTCGCCCTCCAGCTAAGGAGCCATTCTGGGCACCTGAAGGAGTTGCAGGGGCCTGATGGGGGCAGGCTCTGGAGAGGACTGTGGAAGCGAGCATGTTTCCGTGGGATCCCACCTCCCTACGGCAGATGTGAATGCTTCAATGCTGTCATTGACTGAACCTTGTAAATAAGGCCCGTGGCCACCTCCCAGGGTGGAAATCAAGAGGTGATGAATCCAGACAGGGCCTTGGCTCACAGGCAGGATGGGCCTCCCCCCAGCACTCTCCTGCCCTCCTTTGAGGCCCTGCCAGAGAAACTGTGATCCAACCTCCACTCCCGTCCAAGTTCACTCCAGACGTGAGGTCACCCTCAGAGACGCCTGGGGTAAAGGGCTAGTGGTCATTCCACCACCGATTGCCCAAGGCCAAGCCCTGCTGGGAACATTCTCAAGGAAAGAGGGGAGCCTCCTGTAGGGGGTGTAGAAGGACTGACCCTTCCCTTCCTCCTCTTAGGACCCACCCACCTGATTTGCCCTGCTGAGCCTAGCTTAGGTGCCCAAATGTGGTGTGGCTACATGAACCAGCTTATGATCACAGTGGGGAAGGGCCGCGGTCCAAGGCGCCCCCAGGCTAGTGAGGGAGACAGATGCTTGACCAGACCATTCTGGCTCCCCTGAGATGCCCAGCACGGGGGCTTTGCACTCTGGCGCTCCCCAGGTCTCCCTTCCTCATCCACTCCCAGACCCTCTTATTTCTGACCCAGATGGCCCACTCACATGGCACCAAGTGTGGGCCAAGTGCCCACCATAGCCATGCCTGAGCTGTGTGACCACTGAGCAAGTTCCTGTCTCTCTAGGCTTTCTCTGAATCAGCCTCTGGGCCCCACTGTGTCCCTGCCTAGGGCTGAGAAGCCAGCGGAGTCCAAAGAGGCACTAGAGAAATCCTACCAGAATCCTCCACTGAGCCCTGAGTATGTGCCCTTTAGTCTGTGTGGCAACTCCGAGGAACGGCTAGGAGTGCCCCCATTTTAAAGATGATGCAATGATGTGCCGTGGTGACCTGCCCAGGGCCGCAGAGCCAGGAAGTGGCAGGACCAGGATCAACCCAGTAAGTCTGACTCCCAGCCTGACCTCCTGCCCTTCCCCTGGCTGGCTGCAGGCTGTCAGCTAGGCTGCCCTGTAAGACCCTTCCACCCAGGTCTCACTGCCTGGACAGTGGGCCAAGGTCAGCCTAAGGGCTTTCTGGCCTCGACTCCATTTCCCCAGGGATTCTGGTCAGTCACTCCAGAATCAGACCCATGCAGGAGGAAAAGGAACAGCCAGAGCCCAGTCCTGCGGGGCGGAAGCAGGGGCTCTGCCCTCAGTGGGGATGGGACAGAGAGGTTACACCAAAGGGATGTCACTCAGGTGGTCTGAAACGATGAGAGTCCCTCTGCCTGGTGGGGGCGCTCCCAGAGAGGGTATAGCAGGAACCTCGGTGGGGGCGGGAAGGGCCAGAGGCATAAGCCCGGCTCACCCAGGGTGTGAGCACCCCTTAGTTGGTCCAGGAAGGGGGCGGGGGCTCTGAGATGGTGTCCTCAGGGCAGGGGAGGGATCCTCACTGGGAGCTGTGTCCCCTATACTCCTCCACAAACCCAAGTCTAGCACATCACCCCGCTCCCTGCTGCCCGCAGGACCAGACTGCTCCCGCCTCCCCTGGGGCAGTGGTGGGGGGGAGCACTGAGAGGGACAAAGCCTTCCCATAAGGGCGGGGCTTCTGGAGGCCGGGACACTGAGGGGCTGACTTCAGGAGATCCCGGAACAGAGGGGACCCCCAAACTCCAAGGGAGCGATGACATCGGCGTGTCTGGCCCTCTTGCTTCCCAAGGGGAAACTGAGGCCGGGAGAAGGCCTAAGTCACGAAACTAATGAATGGCAAAGTCCGGCTCCCCGACCCGCGCGGATGACCCCGCCCAGGGCCCGCGGGTCCAAAGCCCGCCGCCCGCCCTCTATCGCCGCCCGGCGGGGGCTGTCCCCGCTGCCCTCCCGCCCGGCCACCGAGGCCCCGACGCGCGCCCGCTCACCTGGCACAGCAGGTCGAGCGCGTAGCCGGCGCACGCGGCCCACTCGGCGGCGTCCACTCGCGCCGCCAGGGCTCCGAAGCGGCCGGCCAGCGCCGCGTCCTGCTCGGGGGTGCAGCAGCCGAAGGCCGAGTACTGCGCGCAGAAGCGCAGCGGCTGCGGCGGCCGGAAGGGCGGCCTGAAGTCCAGGCACTGCGGGTGCGCCGCCGCCCCGAGCACCCGCAGCGCCAGCAGGGCCAGCAGCGCCCCCGGCCCGGCCCGCCCGCCCGCCATGCCGCCGCCGCCGCCGCCCCGCTCCGCCCCGACCCGGCCCGGCCCGCGGAGGCGGAGGAGGAGGCGGCGGCGGCGGGGGGCGGGCGTCCCGGCCCCGCGCGTCCCGGGAGCCGCCGTCCGCGCCCGAGGCACCGGCCCTGCGCCGGCCCGCACCCTCCCGGGGCGCTCGCCGCGGCGGGGAAGGGGCCTCGAGGTTGGGGACCGGCCCAGCTGGGAGGCCATCCCTGGTCGCGGGACGCCCCGGCGAGGTTGAAGGAGGAGGGGCGCGGCGCGGAACTCGGCGCTCGGCGCCAGCTCTGTTCCCGCTGTTCCAGTGGCCCCTACCTCCAGGACCGGGAGCCTTTCTTAATACAATGGCGATGGCCTGGCCTCGAGCGGCCCCAGGTGCAAACGGTTTCCCGGTTCCGCCCAGGCGGCGGCTTCCCAACCCCCCCTACCCCCGGCCCGCCCCCGCCCCTGGCGCTATTTATCCCAGGAGGTGCGGAGACTCCGTCCCGCCCCCGACTGGGCCAGGGAGGGACACAAGGGAGCCAGTGGCCGGGAATTCTCACCGAATCACTTAAAAATAGGAGTGCGTGGGGTGCCTGGGTGGCTCAGCGGGTTAAAGCCTCTGCCTTCCGCTCAGGTCATGATCCCAGGGTCCTGGGATGGAGCCCCACATCGGGCTCTCTGCTCAGCAGGGAGCCTGCGTCCTCCTCTCTCTCTGCCTGCTTGTAATTGCTGCCTGTCAAATAAATAAATAAAATCTTAAAAAAAAAAAAAAATAGTGCGACAGGGTAAAGGGCAGGCGGTGCTGCCCGGGACTCATAGGAGAAGTGAAACCAAGACCTGGGTTGGGGAGGCAGGATGGGGCCGCTTCCCACCCCAGGCTTCTTCCCTTTCTCCCCGCCTGGGCCAGCAGATTTCCCTACAGCCGGGTCCTGCTGGGCCTCCTCTGCGAAACACTCCTACATACCTCCCGGGTGGGCACCCCAGCTCTCCGTCCTGCAGCTCCTGCCCCTGCTTCTGCCCTACATCACCCGCCTGGGTTATGGGGTCCCGCCATACAGATGAAAGAGCACAGGCCCCAGAAGCATGGAGAGCTCACCAGCCTCACACAGCAAGCTTGTCCAGGAGAGCCCAAGCCCCTCTGTCTCTGCTGACACCGGAGGAGCTGCGTTGTGGCTTCTGTCTTTCCAACAAGAAAAAAGTTGAACAAACTGAAAATGGGTGACTTTTTCTCAGACCCATCAGAGAACAGAGGTCTCAGAGTCAAGTGCCTTCCCGGGACCTGGAGAGTCACAGCGAGATCCGCTCACCTGCGGCGGAAGTCTTGGAAGCTGTAAACTCCTAGGATGGCTTGAATGGTCATTTTCGGGAACCGTGGGGGGCTGAGTACGGACTAGTGCCAAGTGAGAGGCTCCTGCGGGGAGGGCCACAGTCTGAAGGAGGAGGCTACAGGTTCATAATTTGACCTCCAGAAATCTCTGCAGAGGACAAGTTACCCTGCGAACCGTAGCTTCAGAGTTCTCGGTATCAAAGACTTGCTTTCCAGGGGAAAAGGCAGTACCGGAGCCTTATTCACCCTGGGGGGTGGCATTTTCCCAACTCCAACCCCCTCTAAAATTGGAGGCTTGCTAAGAAACACTAGTAAATGTTACAGCCCAAGGACATAAGAAATGTTATAGAACATTTCTCCTCTCTTTACCGCCACCGAACAGTCCTCCAGCGTAGTAACAGTGGTCACACACTTGATCTAAGGGAATTATAGGATCTCAGGGTCTTAGGGAGTCTCAAAGACAACAGGGGAGACCCAAACAAGGCCAGCAGAGGAATTTGAAGCTGAGTGCTCCTACAGCTACGCCAAACAGAGCCCAAAATGCAACCCCAGCCAGATCAACCTAAATCCTCATGCTAAAAGCCCGTTTACCTCAATCGCGGTTACCCAGTACAACATATCTGGCTTTCAAGAAAAAATGACACAGTGTGATAAATGACAAGAAAAGACACAGTCTGAAAAGATAAAGCATTCAGAGCCAGACTCAGGTTAAGACACAGAATTTGGAACCATCAGAGAATTTAAAATAAGTATGATTAATATGTTATGGCTCTAATGAAAAACGTTGACAGCGTGCATGAACAGATGGGAAATGGAAGCGGAGAGATGAAAACTTGATGAAAAAAATTTAAAAGAAACTATTTCAAAAGGAATCAAAAACACTGAGACAGAAATGAAGAACGCCTCTGATGAGATCATCAGGGGACCGGACGCTGTCAAGGGGAGACTCAAGTTGCTCACTGAAGACGTGTCAGTAGGGACTTCCTAAACTAACATACAAGGAGGGAAAAATGTTAAAGAGGCAAACAGAGCAGAACATCCAAGATCTATGGGACCATTTCAAAAGGTGCATGCAACACATGCGTGATTGGAAAACCAGGAAGCGAAGAAAGAGACAATGTAGCAGAAGAAAAATTTGAAGTAACAAGGGCTGGAAATGAAAGTTAATGACAAATCCCTACAACAGATCTGGGAATCTAAGAAAATGTAAGGCAGGATGAACACTGAACAAATTGACACCTAGGCATCTCATATTCAGAACCAATGACAAGAAAAGTTTCAAAGAAGCCAGAAGGGGGAAAAAAAAACAAACCACCAGCTCCTTACCTACAGAGGGACAAAGGAGATCCATACCACGTCACTCATGCAAGCAGGAAGAGCGCAGAGCGGAAGCTTTACAGAAGCAACAGAAAAAAAACCAAACCAAAATCCACCCAAAATTCCTCACCAGCAGACCTGCCCTACAAAAAAATGTTAAAGAAATTCTTCATGGAGAAGAAAAATGATAAGAGTCAGAAACTCAATGTATCAGATGATGATAGCATATGGTCGGGTGAATGTGTGACGGCAGGGCTGCTGGGCACAAAGCAGGAAGTGGGAATACTTCTTCACAAGGTACCTGCACCATGCAGGGAACAGAATGGTATCCATTGAAGGTGGACTTACATTCGATAAAAATGTCTATGTCCTACAGGGGAAAATTCTCTGCTGGACTTTTTCTGTAAATCTAAAATTGTTCTGAAATAAAGCCATAAGTAAAATGTGAATTGCATACTCTAGACCAACCACTAAGGTCATCCTAAAAAAGAAGCACAACTGATATTCTTTGAAAGGAAGTAAAATGAAATCATAGTAGTAGATGCTCAATTAAAATCAGGGAAGGCAGAGAAAAAGGGGAAAACCAAGAACACGTGTAATCATTAGAAAACAGTTTGGAATGGTAGCACGTTAAGATGTTAATCACTTTAAATGTGAATGGTTGAAACTAACCAATTAAAGTTCATAGATTGTCAGAGTGGATTAAAAAACAGGTGCAGGCACCCTTGGGTGGCTCGGTCATTAAGTGTCTGACTTAAGCTCTGGTCGTGATTTCAGGGTCTTCAGATCAAGCCCTGAGTCAGGCTTCCCACTTAGCAGGGAGTCTGCTGAAGGTTCTCCTTCTCTCTCCCCCTTTTACCACTCCTCCCACTCATGCTCTGTCTCTCTCTCTCTCTCTCTAAATAATAAACAATAAATAAATCTAAAAAAAAACAAACAAAAAAACAAGGCCTCGCTGTTGGTTATGTACAAGAAACCCAACTTAAATGTAGAGACTCAAAGGTTGCAAATAAAGGGGTTGAGAAAGATACTACACACTATCATTAATCAAAAGAAACCCAAGTCGCTATGTTAGTTTCAGATAAAGCAAACGTCAGTATTAGAACTGGGTTCTAGGGGTGTCTGGGGGGCTCAGCCGTTAGGCGTCTGCCTTCAGCTCAGGTCATGATCCTGGTGTCCTGGGATTGAGGCCGGCATCAGGCTCCCTGCTCAGTGGGGAATCTGTTTCTCCCGCTCCCTCTGCTGCTCTCCCTGCTCATTCTCTCTCTCTCTCTCAAATAAATAAATAAAATCTTAAAAAAAAAAAAAAAGAACTGCGTCCTCTAGGGGCGCCTGGGCGACTCAGTGGTTAAGCATCTGCCTTCGGCTCAGGCCATGATCTCAGGGTCCTGGAATCGAGCCCTGAGTCAGACTCCACGCTGTGCAGAGTCTGTTTCTCTCTCTCTCGGCCCTCCCCCACCACCCCTCATGCTCTCTCTCACAAATAAATAAAATCTTAACAAAAGAAAAGAAAAGAACTGGATCTTCTAGTCCCTACTAGACTCACCTCCCTGAGGGCAGGTGTCATGGCTGTTGACTCCCCAGGGTGGAGCATCTGGCGCCTGCTGGGCGTTCTGTCAGTTGTATGGACTCATCGGCACGTGGGTGGGATGAAGGAAGGAGTGGGCAAGTGAATGAATGAATGAATGAATGAATACTCAGACTTTGCTGTTTCCGTGAGGCTTGAGCTCCTCCCACAGCCTTGGGTCAGATGGACTGGACAATTTCACCCAATGCTTTCTGGGAGTCAAGGATGTTATGGGGACACAGGGAGAGGACACTGCCTGGGAGCAGGGACAAAGCTGGTCCTTTGAGCCTGTGTGTTCGCAAACCCCAGGAAACAACCACGGAAGCCAGCCCCGTGGCTGAGAAAAACCTCTGGATTTCCCTCCCCTGATACAGGCTTTATGCTGTCAGCAAATGATTCAGGGCCCCTTGGTACCCATCCAGAGGTAGCGTGGCATGAAGGGGACACAGCGCTGCTGTGGACTCCCCTGCTGACCCCATGCAGGACCGGCCTCCACCCTCAGCCCTAGTTGTCCCACCTCTTGAGTGAGCCCAGGCCACTGCTAGCCTCTCTGAGTCCCAGCCCTTCTGTCCTGAGAGCTGCCTGAGGGTCCAGGAGCTTTGTCCACATTTCCAGAAACCTAGTGGGCACTGTTGGCTGCCCAAACCAGGACAGACAGGCCAGCAGGACACCCACTTCTGCCCAGACTGGGTCAGTTGGGGCAGCTATGCCATCAGCTCCTGGCGACCAGACATCTGTTAATTACATGGTCATTAGTCCTTCTCCAGAATGATCAGAAGGCCATGGGCAGCCTGTTCG